CAAGTAAAATAATATATTATGTAGGTAAAAAAGGACTTAGCACAGCCATGGCCCAATGTACTGTTATGGCCAGTACGAGACTGCCTGCTTTCATCAAATCTTCCGATTATTGAAAAAAGATTTTCTACAATGACAATATCTCTTACATATCGCTCGCACCTGTCACATACANTTTCTGGTAAAAATTCTAAAGTAAGAAACATTATTCATGATGAAAACTGTTGAATTTCAAAAAGGATCAAAATTATCTGTTATTGGCCAAATTTGAATGACAGGTTGACATTAACAATGTCACATAATAAATATGTATATATATGAGCGCGTGGTGGCTCAGTCGGCTAGGTCATGGATTGATGGATTGGCACGTGGGAGACCCTGGCTCGATTCCCGGCCAGTGCGACTTTACGAGCAAGTACCTGTGAGCAATCACCTCTGTGATTTTTTACATGTGCTTTTTCACCCCCCAACGCTCCTCGAGGAGGGTATTAGGCGACCTTCTCGCAGCAAAAATTGCCTAATTACCCCTTACCCCCCTCCCAGTAATGGAAGGCCGCCCGTCCCTTTCCTTGTCCCTTTCCCAAGAGCTTAGTGCCCATAGTAGTGCCCTTATCAAAGCAGCCGGACGTAGAGCACTCCAACATATATAAGAAATTTTAAAAAAATATCCTGTCTTACTACTTATCTTATTTTCAATGGACTTGTATCACATGTCAGTGAATGTAGTTGAAGTCAAAAAGTTACCATATTTACAATTCACAAAATTTTGAGAGGATAAGTAAACTAGTAATCGTTAGAAGACGAAAGCAATAAAAAAACTTTGTTGGAAAATGTTTTGACAAGAAAATAATAATAAAATTGAATGGATATTTATTAGCTTAAATTAGAATCAACAAACTAATAAATGTTAAATAATTAATAATGTAAAGAGAAACTGCTAGTACAAAACGTTGTTTTCAAGTTACAAAACTGTACATAACGATAATAGTGCTTGGGGAACGCGATTGACACATGCGTTTTAGTCGAGTAACTTCATGCACGTGTAGTGTATACAACTTTTTGACACAATGTGTGTGGGGAATAAGAGGTCTTTAGAACGACAACAAAAGGCTTGAAATTGAGTACTTGGCATGTAAAAAAAAAAATATTACAATTAAAGAAATAATTTAGTCATGCATATTGTAAGTCAAGTTTTTAGAAAAAAATTAATTATTAGATTAGTAAATGAATATTCCACTTAATATAAAGTAACGAGCCATAACATAAATGCTGTAAAAAACATGTCTATTAGGGACCGCTTGTGGTTAAGAAGTCACGGTTTTTTTTTATCCACGTCGGTTACATGTTTCTCGGGAGTAAAAATATTAAAATTCTTGATTTATTCCCAAAACTTTCTTATACAAGAACTTTAATAATCTAAATCAATCTAGCTCCAACACTTTAGTTGACAATTTCAACAGAATTATTTATTTGGGCATGCGCACGCGCATGTGTATGCATGTGCGCACATTATATTGCACCCACACACGTTTGAAAAAAAAAATTAAGGATTAATAAAAAAAAATTAAGAGTATCGATTTTTCCTCGATCGCACACTGGAACTCATCAGTGAGGCATTCTAGCGATCTAGCCGCAGACGAACATGACTTACATTTGCACTGATACGTATTATTTTAACGCTGGCAAGATTGACGTAGAAGGTTGGGAAACTAGAATTTATTTTTAATCGTATGCTACTGAGTGGGCAAGTGTAATTATTGAGTGACTATTTCTTGTCTTCTTAGAGAACCTGGATAATTCCTTGTATCAATTTTTTTTTTTTAATTTTTATTTAATTCCAAAGTATTGAAATAGGATTTAAGTCTTTATTTTTTTTTGCAAAATAATGAATTTAGTTAAATGAAAAAATAGAAAATCTGGCCTTACAATATATTACAATGAAAAATATGCCAGATCAACACAACAAATATGAAAGAAAAATCTCAAAATTTTTTTCATACGTGTGCATATGAATAGGAAAAATGAAAATAGGGTTATAAAGAAGAGAGAGTATAATTACTAAAAGGCTTAAGTAAAAAACTTGTGGATTTCGAAAAAAAACTCATGTATTTCGAAATGAAACTCGTGGATCTCAAAATCAAACTCGTGTATTTCAAAATAAAACAAAATTCGTATTCCTGCTTGACCAAAAAAAAAATGAAACGTCTAATCCAGGTGGATCAAATCTGGATGTTCGGCTGAGCAAAAAGCTCGGAATCGGGCCGTCGCCCTTACAAAGTGCCCAAGCACAAATTTAATAACGTAAGATAATTTATTTCTATCTGCACTCATTTTCTATTCAAGCTCTTGGAAAAAAAAATTTTTTCATTCATCACGATGATTAAAGCTAATTTAGAAGAGTTTTATTGGTTACAGAATTAACAATTAAAATAGAATAAAAATTTGTTTACAAATTTACAATGTCATAAAAACGGCGCTGTCGAAATTTGAAGGCACGAGGATTTCTAGGAGTTCGTTAGCCAATGTTTACATGTAGACGTTATCATATATAATTTTATTGAACATGCTGAGGGTTCTAGCGAGAAAAGATTTTAAATTATAATCATGGTAAAAACTACAAAAGGTAATGTCTTCACACAAGAGTGAGAGAGGCAGACGACATACCAAACTATAGAGAGCGTCACATTGACTATAGCGAGGGACAGAACTTTCTTAAGGTTTTAACATTTCATGTATATTAAAATAATAAATATAAAATCGTTTCCACAAAAATTATGACCAACTACTTCAAAAACTTATTTAACTAAAGTTTAGAATAACTTTTTTGTCTGATTGAGTACAGGTTATACAGGTTCCATTTTAGGTTCTATAAGAAAGTTACGTGTTTCAAGAAGTCAAAAAATTTATTATGTATGTATAGGCTTTTGCTATACTAAGTGAAAATGGTCTCATCGACGAGACTCAAGTAGCTCGTGCGTACTCGGCAGCGGCCGCTTCGGGTAGGTAGGAGTAGGGAGGCTATTCTAGCTCAGCGGCTTCAAGCGCGCTGCGTGGCATCGTCGGCTCGAGCTCGCTCTCTCGCGCCGCTACCTCCGAGCGAACAAGTTTTGCTTCGCACGCGCGCATACACATTGTAACCAATTGTAGCTTTTTTTATTATTTTGATACACCTCCTTAATCTTGTGGAGGCCAAATCTCAAACATCTGGTGCATCAGCCGGGAAAGAAAGGCTTGTAACACATTACTGCAATTTGCTGCTGGGAGCTGGTGAGTTGACTTTCTTCGCCCTTGACTAACGCTTGTATTTTTGCCGTGGACGTGGCATCCTCTATACGCGCGTCTGCACCGCAAGCCCAGACACCTTTTCAAAACACGAGTCGTCGTCGGCCGCCATTTTAGTGTCGGGACTGGCTGCGGCTCAACAGTGTTTTCCTTGCAGGTGCGCGAGACGGCCATATTTATTGGACTCGTGCACTGCTCCAGCATAGCGTGTAGTTGTGCTCTCCGCAGTGTGTGTGTGTGCGCTGATATCTTTTCGTGTGTGGTGGCTCTTGTTCTCGGACGTGGGGCGGTGAGCGGTGCTCGTGGCCGTCGTATCGTCAGAGCATCTCTCTACCACTCGTGCAGTTGGCTGTTGAGCCTATCTGTCATTGCTGCTGTAATGCAGCGCTTCTTCCTTTCTCTCTCGTGCAGTTGGCTGTTTAACCAAGCTGCCATTGCTGCTGTAGTGCAGTGCTTCTCCTTTTTTCTCCCTCTCGTGCAGTTGGCTGTTGAGCCAAGCTGCCGTTGCTGCTGTAGTGCGGCGCGTTTTCTCTCTCTTTTTCTCCCCAGCAGCTGGCTGTTGCTGGGCCAGGCTGCTATTGCTGCTGTAGTGCGGCGCTTTCCGATCTATTTATTTCAGCTGGCTGCCATTGGGCCAGGCTGCTGTTACTGTAACTCCTTTCGATTAGGTGCGCAAGACTTTGTCTTCGGCGCCAGTGCTATTGCTGCTGCGGGCAAATTTATCTGTGGAACGTACTCGCCCTGTTGCTGTAGTGCAACACAAACTTCTCTCCTTTGCTTCTATGTTTTTTTGAAAGCACATTGACATCATGGTTACACTTACGGAGTTATCAGCTGAACAATACGACTTGGCTCAAAAACTTGCCAATGCTTTGCCAAACCTCAAGAAAACGCCTCAAGAAAGGCAAAATACCGCACATTTTAAAGGCCGAAAAAAAGTTGTACAACAATACTGGAACGCCTTCCTTGAAAATCATCGCATGCTGATGCGTGTGAAGGATATTGATGAGACTTCCTACGTAAAGGACGATGTCATGCCATCAACCGAGGAGGCCTCAACCAGTGGACAACCCGACCACAACGGCGCAGGCAGTGTCTCAGCAGATCCAGCTGCCTAAGATCGACCTGCCTAATTTCGACGGAAATCCACTTCAGTGGACCAGTTTTAAGGATCCGTTCAACGCCTTGGTACATCAAGTAGAAGGTTTAAGTAATGTAAGAAAATTTTTGTATCTAAAATCTTGTTTAATCGGTGAAGCTACAGAGGTTATCGCGAATGTTCCGCCTACAAATGAAGGCTATTTGTCTGCTTTTGCCGATTTAAAGATTCAATATGATAATACATGGGTATTATCTCATGTATGTTTACGGAAATTAATTAATTTGGAATCAGTGAAATCTTCCAAAGACGCTTCGGACCTTAGGTCGTTAATTAACTCTTTTAAGCAAATAATAAGAGCTTTGAAAGGACTTCACAAACCAATTGATGTCTGGGATGAATGGTTCGTTTTTTTTTCTGTCAGAGAAGTTGAATAAATTTACTCGCGTCCAATGGGAAACGTCCTTGAGTGATAGCAAGTTAGTACCTGAATTTAATCAACTTTGTAATTTTTTGGAAATTCGCATGCATGCACTCAAAGCCGTTGGTTAATCAGAAAAATTAAAGTTTCGAGACATCTCTGGCACAGAAAGACGAGCCACAAAAAAAAATAAACCCGAAAATGAACTCTAGCGCTTCCATTCAAAGCAAGTCTGATGATTTTTGCAAATACTGTTCTGAAAATCATGCCCTGTTTAGATTTAGTACCCTGTTCAAAGAAACAAAGCCCTGTTCAAAGAAAAGAGCATGTTGTACAGGCCAAACTGTGTTTTTTGTGTTTAAAGGCTGGACACGATTTAAAGACTTGTGAATCTTCCTATAGATGCAATTATTGTAATGGTAAACACCATATCTTGATGCATGATGCCTTAAGCAAAAGTTCTAATCGTCAAAAAACACCTCAATCACAGTTTGGTCCCAATCGGCAATCTTATGTAGCTGAGATTGATAAGGAATCTAATGACTCTAATGATTCTAATGAATCAAACGATTCTAGCGATGAAGTGCAAAATTATTCGGCTAATTGTCCTCCGGTACCTTACAATTTTGTGGTACTGATGTCAACGGCTTTAATCAAACTTATTTCTCAATCTGGAAAATCGATTGTACTTAGGGCACTCTTGGACACTGCTTCTAACTCATCATTTGTTTCTGAGCATGCAGCCCTGTCCTTAAAATTGACTAGACGTCTGGTTAAAAGTACTGTGTTTGGAATAAATTCTTGTAAAGCTGGAAAAATCAAGGAAGAGGTTAGTCTGTCGGTGTCCCCAATTACAGATTGTGGTCCAATATTACCATTTACTGCCCTAGTCTTAAACAATTTGACCCGCAACACCCCAAGTGTAAGGGTAACAAACCTTAATTGGCCTCATATTTCTCAACTAAAGCTGGCTGACCCAACCTTTTCCACTCCTGGTCCAATTGATGTTATTTTGGGGGCTGATCTAACGGGTTTTCCATACAAAGATGGTACTCACTCCGGTTCAGTACAAGAACCAGTGGCTAAACTTACTATTTTTGGTTGGGTTCTATCTGGTAAAACTTGTCCTCCTCAATCTTGCCAACCCAGTCGTTCCCTTCAGGATATACAAGCGTTTTAATCTTGCGTTAAATTTGATACAGAGCTCTTTTGGGAACCCTCTTTTTCTACATCTACCAGCATTGAAAAGAACCTGATCACCTGCTTATCTAGTAGTTTGTCCGACAATTATTTTGACCTTGATGTCTCTCACACTAAGAAGGGTGCTAATTGTGATTTACAAAAATTTTGGGAAGTTGAAGATCTCCATGATAATCCCATTCCCTCTGAAGAGGAGGAGAGGTGTGAACAACTTTTCACCAATTCAGTTCAACGTAATCGCGAAGGTCGATACATAGTTTCATTACCTTTTAAACTTGACCCAGAGAAGTACCTGCAATCGAACGTTAAACTTGCCACTCGACTCTTCTTTGGGTTAGAAAATCGCTTACAAGAAAATCCTGCTTTTTCATCAAAGTATATTGAATTTATGTCCGAGTATCAAGTGTTAGACCACATGTCTGTTTCATCCGCGCCCCTGACTCATAGTCATTTTTTGCCCCATCACGGAGTCTTTAAAACATTGGATCCTTATAAAAAAATTCGAGTTGTATATAATGGTTCGTCTCCCTCTCCATCAGGGTACTCTTTAAATAATTGTCTATATGCTGGCCCTAAGCTTCAAAAGGATATTTGGGTTGTTCTGACCCGTTGGCGGATGTTCAAGTATGTTTTTACTGCAGACATAGTTCACATGTTCAGACAAATCCTAGTTCAACCCAAAGATCGTAAATGGCAACGAATTCTATGGTGTGATAATCCTAAACAGGCTCTGACTAGTTTTGATTTGCATACCATAACTTATGGTCTTACCTCAGCACCGTTCCTTGCTTTGAGAGTTTTGAAGCAGTTAGCCCTGGATGAACAAGCAAAATATCCTCTTGGTGCTGATATTTTGCTTAATAATTCTTACATGGATGATTTTTATGTTGGAGCTTATACTGAAGCTCAAGCTCTTGCTGTTCAGCAAGAGTTAATATCTATCCTTAGGGCTGGCAGTTTCTCACTCAGCAAATGGGCATCAAACATGTCAAGCTTGTGAAAGGAAAGTAAACTAGAATCAAAATTCCTGCCTCAAGCTGAAGGTGTGTCAGCTCTAGGACTCTGGTAGAATTCTCACTCAGACACCTTTTCGATAAAAATGGCTATGTCTTCAAAATCCACTGAACCACCCACAAAACGTGTCATATTATCAAAAATACCTCGCCTTTTTGATCCTCAAGGCTGGTTCTCTCCAGTCTTGATTTTTGCTAAAATTTTTATTCAAGATACTTGGCTTTTAGACCTTGATTGGGATAGCCCGTTGAGTGATTCTTTGACAAAAAAATGAAATGAATTTTATGAATCTCTTGTTCAGTTAGAATCAATAAAGGTACCAAGGTGGCTTGGTATGAGTTCTGAAAATGCCTCACATATTGAGTTGCATGGCTTTTGTGATTCTTCTGAACGTGCCTATGCAGCCGTAATAAATGTGAGAATTTTGTTATCGGATAAAGTCTGTCGATCCACCTTACTAGTTGCCAAAAATCTTGTGGCCCCAATCAAGGTTTTAAGCATCCCTAAGCTGGAGCTCTACGGAGCAAAATTATTGGCCGAATTACTGGATAGGGTTAAGATAGATCTACATATTAAGTCATTAAAAAATTTTGCATGGACTGACTCCCGAGTTGTTTTGGCTTGGATTTCTGGACATGCCTCAAAATGGACATCATTCGTTGCAAACCGTGTTTCAAAAATTCAGTCCATTTTGCCACCAAAAAATTGGAATTATATTTCATCTGCTAAGAACCCGGCTGACATCGCTACCCGAGATATCACTCCTTCTCAATTAAAGAATCTCAAGCTTTGGTGGCACGGTCCCGATTGGCTTCAAAATCCAGACCATGATCTTACTCCAACGTGTGTTGAGTCCCCCTAAATTGTTCCAGGGATGAAAACTAAAGTAACAGCCTTGACGGGTCATCTAAATGAAGATCTGGACTTACTTGTAAAATTCTCTTCTCTTACTCGATTAGTTAGAGTGACGGCTTATCTCTTTTGATTCTCTTTCAACCTTAAAAATCCAGATTCGCGTCGCTCTGGGTTCTTGACTACCCTTGAGCTTCGTCAAGCCATTGATATTTTGATTAAATACTCACAGCTCAATTTTTTTGGATCAGATATTTTAAATTTAAAAATTGAGAATAGGTTACTGTCAAAATCATGACTAGTTTCCTTCAAACCATTTTTAGACGACCTTGGGACACTTAGATCAGCAAGACGTATAGAAAATGCGCCCTTGGCTTGTTACAGTGAAAAACATTCAATTTTGCTACACAAAGCATGTCCTTTGTCTGCTCTGTTAGTCAAACACGCACACCATCAAACTCTTCATGGTGGCCCACTTCAAACTAGAATCTATTTTTCAGATCGATTCTATATAATCCATTCGCGTTCCCTTGTTCATCGTATAATAGATCAATGTGTTCGTTGTGCCCGTTATTCCTCCCGACATGCACAACCTCAAATGGAAAACCTTCCTGTCTGTAGAGTTACAGGTATAAGACCGTTTTTGACTGCTGGAGTTGATTATGCTGGGCCTGTTCGTATACTTATGTCTCGGGGACGAGGGAGAAAATCTCAGAAAGCTTACATTTGTTTATTTATGTGTACAGCAACTAAAGCCATCCACCTGGAAGTGGTATCCGACCTGACTTCCTCAGCATTCATTGCTGCTTATCAAAGGTTCACCGCTCGTCGAGGTCGTTGCTAAACGTTCTTGAGTGATAATGGAACCAACTTCCATGGTGCAGATAAGCAGCTAAGACAAATGTTCACCGAGGCTTCAAGCTTTTATAAACAATCTGCTGAAGCTCTTTCTAATGACACCGTGGAATGGTCATTCATCCCTCCGTCTGCCCCCCATTTCGGTGGGCTTTGGGAAGCAGAAGTGCGCTCTGTGAAGATGCATCTGCGTCGAGTCATTGGCGACACCAAACTGACTTTCGAGGAATTAAGCACGTTGCTCTGCAAAGTCGAGGCCTGCTTAAACTCTCGACCTTTAACTCATTTTAGCTACCACCCTAACGACCCAATGCCAATGACACCTGGCCATTTTTTAATAGGTGAACCGATTGTTTCAGTGCCCGAGTCTAGTGTTGCGAACGAAAAGCTGTCCCCCCTCGCTCGTTAGAAACTGCTATCAAAGATGAGAGACCATTTCTGGAATCGTTGGCGCAAAGAGTACTTACGCGCCCTTCAACAGCGCACAAAATGGTGCAACTCAGAACCAAATTTGGAGGATGGATCTATTGTCCTTATCATTCATGACAATGTTCCACCATCAAAATGGCCACTTGGAAAAATTGTCCAGGTTATAAAAGGGGCTGACGATATTGTTCGCGTGGCAAGAGTTAAAACCGCGTCTTCCACCTTTAAGCGTCCTGTGATAAAGTTGTGTCCGTTACCTATTGCGAAAGATTGATGGCTGAGTGCCATAAAAATTTATGTTATAAATTAGTAAATGATAATTTTCCTTATGTACAATTTTGTTACTTAGATACTTTTCGCGTTGCAAATTGTTATTCGCATCGTACCATGTACTTTATAAGATAATGCGAACCTTTATTTTAACTGTTGCGATCTGTTAGAGATAAATGTAACTTATTAACTATTTTTTTATTTTTTGATAGAAAATTATTATTTTTAGTATTGAATTCAATTTGACAAAAATGAGTAGATTTTGAGTTACTACTTTGCCGAAAGTTTTAGAATATTAAAATATCGAACTTCTTCTAATCGAGAGTAGAATACATTTATTTTTGCTTGTAATTATATGTGCTTTATAAACCTCTCTTTTGTTTTGCGACAATGTACTTTCGGCGCTGATGCTAAATTATATTATCTTTAAATCCTCCATCCACGATACACTTTAGCGATAAAAGGATCTAATTTGTTTTTATGTAAATACGAAATAATTGGTGTTTTGTTTGTTATTTTAAAAACAAAAAAATGTACTTTCGATCATGTATTATTTTACGCATTATTATAGTATGTGTGGTGTCTCCGACGGGGCTGGCGGTATGTATAAGCTTTTGCTATACTAAGTGAAAATGGTCTCAGCGACGAGACTCAGGTAGCTCGTGCGTACTCGGCAGTGGCATATACTTCGGATAGGTAGGAGTAGGGAGGCTATTCTAGCCCAGCGGCTTCAAGCGCGCTGCGTGGTGTCGTCGGCTCAAGCTCGCTCTCTCGCGCCGCTACCTCCGAGCGAACAAGTTGTGCTTCGCACGCGCGCATACACATTGTAACCAATTGTAGCTTTTTTTATTATTTTCATTAAACTCTTTTTAAAAGAAAATCTCTTTGTTCCTGCCTTATTTTCTTTCACCTGCTATTCAAGTTTATTAATTTCGAGAGGAAGCCAATCCAGCAATACACCTCCTTAATCTTGCGGAGGCCAAATCTCAAACAATGTAGATTTAATTTGTTTTGGCTTTTTAGGGTGACTTTTATTTAACATAATAGTCTTTGACGTATTATGTTACTTGCATACTATATTTAAAAATTATACAGAGTGGTACTACCAAGGTACTGTTAAGATGACGCATGAGATATCATTGATAAATAGCTTATATTTGAAGTATGATTTTATAAGTGTTCGTAGCTATATGGTGTATAAATGTAGCTTGTGACTCAACTCATTCTAAATGCTAAGATCATAGTTTAGGCCAGGTAAGAGAAAAAAAAGATCAATTGAGATTTTTGAATATTACAACATTTCGTCTTGAATGCAAAACAAATCAGATCTTGAAATAGTTTTTATTATTCATTGAGGTGTACGAGGTGTGATCAAAAAGTAAGGTGACTTTTCATTTTTATAAGAAAATATTTATTTAGTTGTCTAAAACTATGTTATCTCCTTCAAAATAACCCCCCTTAGATACAATGCACTTGTGCCAACGCTTTTTCCAGTCGTCAAAACACTTCTGAAATGCTATTTTGGGTATTGCTTTGAGCTCCTCTAGCGATGTAGCCTTAATATCCTCAATCGTGGCAAATCTTCGTCCTTTCATAGGCTTTTTCAATTTTAAGAAGAGGAAAAATTTGCTGGGGGCCAAGTCTGGTGAATATGGTGGCTGTGGCATGATGGGAGTACTGTTTTTGGCCAAAAAACTACTAACTAATAACGACTTGTGCGCAGATGCATTATCATGGTGTTCGCGGATACACGTCTCATACCCAAAATATCCGTCAAAATTGATTGGCATGAGCCAAACAATATATCAAGATCATCAGCTATTTCTCTAATCGTGATTTGACGATCTTTTAGCACCATTTCTTTCACTTTCTGAACATTTCCGTCGGTGTTTGACGTGCTGGGGTCGCCCAGAGCGAGGTTCATCATTAACATTTTCTCGGCCCTCTTGGAATAACTTATACCACTTATAGACATTTTTTTGCTCATAATTGAATCACCGTAGGCCACTGTCAACATTTCAAAAGTTTTTGAGCACTTAATACCATTTTTTACACAAAAATTAAAACAAACTCTTTACTCCATTATTTTCAACAAAAAGAAATCGCCGAGTAAGCAAACACGAGTCTAACCTTTAAGTCTCTCACATAAAAACAACACATGCTATATAGTAAAAACTATGAACATATGATCGTGACTAGTGTACCAACATAATAAAAAAAAATTTAACTTAGAGTGTAAAGAGCGCGCGCAATTCAAAAAGTCACCTTACTTTTTGATCACACCTCGTATTTCAAAAATTTTTAAAAAAGCAAGAAATATATTCATCAAGTCTAGTTGGCTTTGAGAATTTATTTCAAATGAGTTAATAAAATATTTAAACTATTACGACTAGTTTTAAATCCTTATTAGAAATAGTTTGATAATGTTACAAGAAAAAGTGTATTTGTTACTACCTTAGAGATAATGATTAAAAATAAATATTACTTAGCTACTTACCATTAAGACTCATGGAGTCATATTGCTCAGTCTGCAATGGTTCTCTATATATAATGGGATCCATCCCAGTAAAATCAGCAACTGTACCAGTAAAAAGCTCACCATCTACATAAGCGTAGGTACTGTTGTGCTGAGGATCAAAAGGGCATAAAGCCTTGGCTAACTTCTCATTTGTCACTGTGTAATTGCCAGCGTGCACATCGTAATTGCGACACATGGGCTTAAAAGCATTTGTGCCACAAACAAGTAGACCATTTTGACCACTTTTAGCTAGAATGCGTACATAGTTTTGACAGTTTTCTTCATCTTTGCCTTTCACTTGACACATTTTAACGTCCATATCTGGTGAGTACCATGTCAAACGTTGTTGCTCCGTGAGATCAGTCAAACTCAAGTTATGCACATGATTCCTAAAAAGAATAATCTATTTACTCATAATATAATTTTTTTTTTAAACTCTCAGTGTTAGGGGATAGTCAGGTTCTAGGTTCCAAATTCTTAGTTAAAAAAGCAGTGTATGCGTACGACTTTTTTTCAATTGGTAGTATCATTCTCAAATTCTCATAATAAACGTATGTACACTGTTTTTTTAGTAGTTAACAGATGAAGTAGTAGATGTCTACTATTTTTGTATTAGCCAGAAAATAGTGACTCATTTGTTAATATCCTTCTTTTTTTCTTTTCTCCTCCGTTTTAAGGATTATTACATAAAAATTATAGTTTGTAGTCCCTTAGAGATTGGTTTATTTACCTTTTTTTAAGTAATTGATGTATACAACAATTAACTTAACTAATATTCTAAATCAACTAAAAATTACGTATTTCTATAAATTGTAGGATATTCGTCTTCTACACGAAATTCAACTTTTTTTAATACTTTAATTTCATTTTAACACACCAATTGATTTAATGTTTAATTGGTTTGTTACACTATCCACGAAAAAATTTTTACGATTCGCCAAACTTTCGCAAAAATTAATGTTTGGCCAAACGTTAGTTAAACACGGAAAATAAAAAAATACCAAACTTGGATTCCTGCTACAATATTTGACTCAAGTTTAGCTAATATTTATCCAAACTGGGTGACAGAAATAGCAAAATTTTTCGTTTAATAATAGAATGATAAAAAAATGATAAGAAATGTAAATTTGAAACAAAACATATCTTAACTATCATCTTAACACAGAAACGATAAGCACGTGCGACTTGTAAAAAAAAGGTATAGAAGTTTACTATATTTTTTTCTTAATTAATTATCTCTTGCATTAATTATCACTAAGAAAAATCAAATGTGCAGCTTTATTTCAAAAGTATACTACAATATTTGTGTAAAGATATATCTATAAAAACTAAAGGATTTTAATGCACTGCGTTATATAGTTCAGGGCGATTTTTTAATTGTTAATAAGATTTCAAATTATTAAACAGCAAAAACTGTAGGTGCAGAGTGATATGAAGTCTTAAATACTTACTTAATATCGAAGTTATAAATAATAATGATTATTAAAGTTGATAACAAATAAGAAATCAAATGCACATTATTATAAGATAATTTTTACTGGACGATTAAAAAAATATCATCAGCTATAAACTATCAATTAGTCAAGGCACCTATGTATTAACCTTCTTAACTTGTTTTTAATTAAATGATAAAAGCATACTTCTTTTGCGATCTGTTAGAGATAAATGTAACTTATTAACTATTTTTTTATTTTTTGATAGAAAATTATTATTTTTAGTATTGAATTCAATTTGACAAAAATGAGTAGATTTTGAGTTACTACTTTGCCGAAAGTTTTAGAATATTAAAATATCGAACTTCTTCTAATCGAGAGTAGAATACATTTATTTTTGCTTGTAATTATATGTGCTTTATAAACCTCTCTTTTGTTTTGCGACAATGTACTTTCGGCGCTGATGCTAAATTATATTATCTTTAAATCCTCCATCCACGATACACTTTAGCGATAAAAGGATCTAANATTAACATTATAATAAATGAAAATTAACAAGACTTGGGTGTACTCAATTTTTCCGTTAAAGGTGATTGCTTATTAACTAACATTTTGATTTATTCAATATAAAAATACTGGAGCATACTGGGTCATTGTATTATAAGCGCTTGTTTATTAATTAATATTTTAGTTTATTTGAGATAAAAATACTAGAGCCCACTGATAATTTTTTTAAGGTTTCTTATTTAATTGATGCTATTATTTGTTAAAAACAAAAATACTTTTGACGGAAATGCAGTCCCGTCTGGCATCACTGGGTGGTACATACCGTGATGCAAATCGTCTACTTATTGTACAAATGCTATGTTTTTTTTTAAATTGATGTTATAATATTAAATTTATAATTTTTCTAACAAAATTCTTTTATCAATGTACTCCGTTACAATTAATTGTATGGAAAACAGTAAAAGTACACCTAACATTAGAAGATTAAACATGATTAAAACGTTTATTGTAGATAATATCCTTGATAATCCATTAAAAAAATATTGCTTTACATACAAGTAATTGTAATTGAATACATTGACAAAGGAATTTTTTTAGAAAAACTATAAATTTAATTTTATAACGTAAATTCAAGAAAAAAATTGCATTTGTACAATATGTAAACGATTCGTGTCACGGTATTTACCATCTCGTCATAGCCAAGTGGTTCAACGTGCTTGTGTCGCACAATGAATTTCAGTGCCCAAGGTTTGAGACCAACTACTGTACGTCTTCTTTCACAAGTCGTATGTGCTTATCATTTGTGTATTGACGTGATAATTGATATACTTTTAATTTATGTTTTTGATAATTTTGTTATTAATGTATTACTCAAGAAAACATTTTGCTATTTGTGTCACGAAGTTTTGATGAATATTAGCTAAACTTGAGTCAAATATTTCAGCAAAAATCCAAATTTGAGATTTTCTCATTGCCCGTGTTTAGCTAACGTTTGGCCGAACATGAACTTTCGCGAAAGTTTGGTGAAACGTAAAATTTTTTCGTGGGTATTACATGATTGTAAGACCAGATTTGGTCCAACTCAGCAGTCTCCTTTTTCTTTCTCTTCCTGACCTGATAATGTATTAAAATTTTTTAAGTAAAATAATNGTGAATTCGTACACAAATTCACAAGTCAAAATACTTATGATAAAAGATGATTTATATGAATGGTAGTATTTAAATTTTTATTATCTCAATGCAACTATCAGGGAACATGAATATTATTTGTGTAATTATTTTTTCACTATTATTTAAAATGTAAGAGAAGTGAAATTTTTATGACTTTTTTTTTAACTTCCCTAATAACGTCGGACCTGTACCTTTAATTATATAGAATAATAAACAGAATAATTTTAAAAAATGAAAAAATGAGCTATAAACTTATTTCTATATTAATCAATTTAATTTTGATTTAATAAACGAAACAGAAGTAGGCGTTAAATGAGAATATGTAAAACAAGAAGAGTTAAAATAGTTACACCACATACATACAATTTGAGAATCAATCGTAGGGCAGGTGGGCAGACATCGATCAAAATATTTTTGATGTTGTTTGCCAAAACTTATGGGCCATTAAGTGACAATACTTAAAACAAAAGGTGGTATAAATATCGCATGGTATAAATACGATTTGCCAACCAGATACTTTAAATGAACTTCACAAAAAATAGAATGGTTATTGAGTGAGAACATTTGAACTAAGTGTTATGTACTGTAACATGAAACATGCCCATTATATTTCATTTTTCGGTATTAGTTAAAAATTTGTGCTCATCTACTTTGCTCTATTTTTTGTAGGCATGCTAAGAAGTATTAAAACTTAATTTTATCACTTACTATCATAGTGGGATAACCAAATGAGCTAAACAATGTGTCTAAAACTTTAATCAATCTACACGATGTTGTATCTTTTTTCATATTAATTACCTCTGGCCATTTCGAATGTGCATCGACTACGATTAAAAACATATTTCCGTGAAAAGGACCCATAAAATCCATGTGAATTCGAGACCATGGTACAGTAGGCCATTGCCAAGGCGTAAGAGCAGTTTTTTTTGGATCTGCTCGAGATTCTAAACAAATATTACAAGTTTTTGCCAAGGCTTCAATGTCTACATCAATATTCGACTACCAAAAATAATTTCTAGCTGTTTGTTTCATTTAAACAATGCCTAAGTGAGATGAATGTAAATCATTAAGAATCAGTTTTTTTAAGTTATCAGGAATTACAAGTCTATGACCCCAATATAAACAGTTTTGCTCAACATTCATTTCATGGCGCTTGTCATAAAAATTCTTTTTCTCGACTAATAACTGTTTTTTCTCTGGCCATCCGGTTCGAGTGAAAGAGACAATTTTTTTTAATAACAAATCATTCGTAGTGGCTTCAGCTACCATAGATAAATTCAATGAAGAAATTTCGTTCTGTACATGATTAATATTTAAAAATTCGTCTGAAAATACTGCTGTGTTATCATTTATTGGTAAACGTGATAAGGCATCGCAATTGCCGTTTGCTTTAGATTTAACTACTTCAATTGTATATGAATACCCTGAGAGAAAATATGCCCATCTTTGAAGCCTGCTATGTAACACTGTCGATATATTTTTATTGCCAAAAATGAACTTCAGGGGCTCGTGATCTGTTTTTAAAATAATGTGATTACCGTATATAATTTGATAAAATTTCTTAAAGCCAAAAATTATTGCACCTGCTTCTTTATCAATGATGGCCCTATGTAATTCATAAATAATCAGTGAACTCAAATGGTTATACTGCTAACTTCTGTTTATTATTGAACGACGTTTTGGGCCGTACAGAAACAAGTTTCAAGGCCCTCATCAGATTCAAATAAAATAATTGACCGCTCAAACGGGTCACGTCAGGCAACGCGCTAGATGTCATTATTGCGAATGAGCGGTCAATTATTTTATTTGAACCTGATGAGGGCCTTGAAACTTGTTTCTGCACGGCCCAAAACGTCGTTCAATAATAAACAGAAGTTAGCAGTATAACCATTTGAGTTTACTGATTATTTATTAATCTATCCACTACTATTAGAGTACGCCTAATGCCCTATGTAATTCATTTTTGGGTATAATTTTTGACGCGAACGCAATTAGACGCTCCGTACCATCTTCAAACCTATGCGAAAGTATCGCTGACATGCCTCGCTGGCTTGCATCGCACGCTAATACAAGTTGTATATTAGGATTAAATAAGGTTAATACATTATCTGATAAAATTTGGTTTTTTATCCAATCAAAACCTTTTTGACAAGCTTCAGTCCAGTTCCACGTTTTTTGTTTGCATAATTCATATAATGGCCATACGAAATCTGCCCTCTCTTTTAAGAATCTTTCATAAAAATTTATTAACCCTAAAAAAGCTTGTAACTCTTTGTGAT